CGCTACCACTTAGACGACTGCGACGTACCTCAGTACTTTCTCATCTGGAATCTCTCCACCATATCGTTCGGGAAGGCAATCGCGATCGGCAAGCTCCAAAATTTCTTGTGAGCAGTTTCTACTTGCGACAACGACTCGATTCTGAGTGCTGTCCGGTACGAAAGCCGCCAGAGCCCGCCTGAGAAAGATCTTGATGCAACAGCGAAAAATCTCCTGAGAATAATCAAAAGCTTCAAATCAACTTACCCAAGCACACTAATATAGCTAGGAGTATTAACGAAGATGAATCGATCAATAAACTCTGGATAGTCCTTAAAGATCAATTGCCACTGGACCCGAAATGGACCTAAAAGTACAAGAACGGCCATGAAGGAGATCCCAGATGTACCAATAAACAAGTGGGGCATACCGCTGACAGTTCCTAGAAGAGACGGGTTGAAGCTGAGCCCGTCGAGATCAAAAACATAGTATACATAGCATTGGACGCCTGTCTTCGCTTCGATCTGAAAAGTTAACTTATGAGACTGATTAGATCACTGAATTTTGTTATGGCTGGGAAGCTGAAGCTCACTACCAGGGTGAGCCAGGTGTGAGTGAAATTTGACGCCCAATACGAACTGCCATCTCCTGCTTCGATTTCATGACTCACCTTCGTCACATTGTTCGGTGGTCTTACATTCATCCTACCGAAACCTTTACCTGAGGTTTCCCAAAGAGCAGGTAACAAGTAAATAGAGAATAGGAAAGGCCTACGACTTCCTACAATTTCACAGAGATTCCGCAAAATCTCATGAACGCTCCAAAAACCATCCTACTTACTATAAAGCGCTTCGTCTGTCGTCTGTCTGTCGTTCTGTATGTCTGTCACGAAATTCCCTAGCTCCTCGGGATCCGCCTGGAGGGACCGGGTCAAGTGTGGGATGGGTGGGCAAGGTCTCACGAAGTACAAAACACACATCAGCTAAGCGGAGCCCCGCCCACAGTGGGCGTGGCGTGCGTCGAAATGAACTGTACCGAAGACCAAGATTTCAATTTCAGTGACAAAACGACCTCGAAACTGGGCCAAAAAGTGGGTAAAGGTGTGCATTGGTAAGTCACATCGAATTAGGGAGACCCACCCCCGGTGGGCGGGGCGTTCTCCAAAAAAGCAGTGCTTTATGAAAAATTTCATAACTCGGTTGGGAGAAAGCCTACAGAGCAGAAAACAATTTGGTGTAAGGGAGCAATGTCTAAGGTGTTTCCAGCATACATGACGTGGGCGGAGGCCCGCCCACAATGGGCGGGGCGCGCTCTGAAGTGTACAGCATTTTCTACAAGTCCTCATAATTCGGGCCGGGGAAGTCTTAAAGAGCCGGAAAAAGGTGGATAGAGGTGGTGGAGGAGTGGAGGCCAGCTGTCAATGGTGGGCGGGGCTTGACCAAAGTGGGCGGAGTTTGCGACGAAAATTCATAACTCGGCTCAAGAAGTCCGGAGGCCGGGAAAAAAGAGTAGAGGTCGTCAAGCAAAAAAGAGGTGGGAAGAAGACAGGGGATGGAGATCCAGAGGGAGGGCAGGAAACGAGGAGGCCCGCGGCCCCCGTCACGAAGCTGAGTGTAAGAGCGCTTAGCTTGTGGAGCGCAAAAACGCAAGAAGCACCTTCCGTCGCATAGGTTTGGTTGCCATAATTTTTGCATCGTAGGTATATGCTTTTTGTCAGCAACCTCCTTATATGTTTTGTTTAGAATGTTGAAAAAGGTATATATGGATCTAATGGAAATGGTTGTATGGCCGGGGATGATGCAGTGGCAATTGGCGTATTTACGCAAGCCTAGGACCCGCGGATCACGTCTGGCGTGCGCTTTCCTGGTAACTTACACGTTCCTTCATCCTAACTGGCAATTTGGTAGGCTAGATGTCCGCCTGGATCAGACAAAAAACTCAACTACAGCATGCAAGTGATGGTATGGGCCAAATCGCATCCTAATGCGATTAGGAAGTACAATGCGTGGCGCATCCCAGGAATGAAATACCCGCGCCGAATACTGTATCTTTCTTTTATTGTACAAATAAGAAGTTATAGGAATCGATTTACCAACCAACAGAAACCTTTTGAAATTTAAGAAGAATTGCTTTACCGTACCTGACTGCGAAAGCTTAGGTTAGTGCGGAGTATTTGGTTGAAGGGTGCCATAATGAGATTTCACAAACTATGCATATGATCGCAATGATAAAGTGTCAGGGAAACTGATAGGAAAGAAACTCCTGAACTCACCGCCATGCTGTTGTGTGTGGTATTCGAGTTGACAGGCGAATTCGAACGAGTCACCGCATTTGCCACAAACGAACGGCTGTAATATGAAAGATTGTCAGGAGGGCGGGGCGGGCGGTTGTTGCAGTGTTTTCCCATAATGTCTTCACCTAAGACATCCCATGGGATCTCAATCATAATTATGCCTTTCTGCACGGACGCAGGAACCAGGATACATGGGGAGCAGAGTCATTCGAGGTGCTTTACAGACGGTGCTGCTCTAAAACGGTCTTTTGGGGAGAAAAGTGCTGCAGTTTCACATATTAGACCCTTATGCTGCTAACGAATATATTTATTTCTTCGAAAACACAATATCTTCACAGAAGATTTCATACTTCTTTGTGGGAAAAGTTGGAGACAATTTTAATAAGTCAAAGATCGATTGTACATTGGAGGACAAGCTCCCAATATTCCGGATAGCTGTCAAATTATAATAAGCTCAGAGGTAAGTAAACTTAATGTGCAGTACTGTAGGGTATTCCAGGCAGATGCGATTGGAAAGACTTTGGCGAAAGGTAACGTGTGTGGGGTGGGGTCATATCAGTAGGGGAGTTTCGAATTCAAGGTTTTGCTTAGGTGAGGAGCAGTAGAGCTTTTTCACTGTATATGAATAAATGCTAATTTTTTTTCTAGTGAGAAACAAGGGTGAAACTCATCCTCATGTGCCGTGAGGCCTACTCCCTTGCTCATCCATGAGTAAGCTCGTTGAAGGCAAGAGTCAGGATTAATTCAATGTGGTAAGCCCACTTGAATGCGAAAGTAGAGCGAAGTGGACCACAAATGGAGGGAAAAAACTATCGTCAAACATACAGAAAAACACCAAATTCCTGCTTCTGAGCTGCGAAGAACTCCAAGGCAGAAAGCGAAACAACGAATGATATGGGTCGCGGAGTGGGGGTGGACTTTGGGGCGAAAGAGCACAGCTAATCAACCAATACGACGCAGTGAAGATGTCGAACCGTGGGCGGGTATGGTTCGACTGGGCGTCGGCAGATCGAAATCAGTTGGGCATTTCGAGATGCTAATTTTGTCGCAACCTCTACAATAGCGGTCCTGGTACTTTGGAGGTAGCTCATCAGCGAGGCTGAGCCCGACCTTCACTGTCAATTTTATTTCCATGCTTTACCAATTAGACGGGACACCCTATAGAATTCATGAAATCAAAAAAAGGCAGAACAAGAAATGGACTATGCGTTTTTTGAGAAAGGGGTGAACCTCTTTGGAGAAAATATAATATTTGGAAGTAGAACTCTGATGCCATCATACTCCAATTCAATAGAATACTACTATGGATTGATTTTTGGGGTCACAGAATGGCTATACATAGAATTTGCAGTTAGATGGTAGAGGCTGTAACTGTAATAACTGTAACTACAGTACCTTCTACCGTAAAAACAGAAACTGCCACTGTTAGAGATTGGTTTTAGCCTTTAAGAAGCAGCTAATTGGATCTACTTTCTAGAGAGTAGTTCGCATGGACAAAAATGTTCTACAACGAGAAGGAGAGCGAATTGTCGAATAATCCAATACTTCTTGTAACTCATTATGAGAAAACAGTGCTAGAGCTTGAACTGGAATAATCATGGTAACTTTTTGGAGATGGAAGGAAAAAGTTTGTGAAAAAAAAAAAGGAGATTACCTGCGAGATGTTGTGAACGCGTTCGTGAGCTCTCAGCGTGTTCATGTAGTTGAACGTCAATCCACAGAACCGACATCTGTAGTAGTAACCGAATCCATTGTCGTCCTTCTCCACCACGGTTAACGCATCCCCGATTCAACGGAAGAGTCCTTCAATGAGAACAAACTCAGCTTACATAGCTCGACACCACAAAACTGATCGGACTATAAGCAATCTACCTATTCTGTGATTAGACTGGCAAAACATAGCTCGATGTCTATAAGGTCCTTTTGTCACATGTAGATCAGGCAGACTGATGGGCGTTGCGCTTGATTTCTCACGCGAGAAACAGTATGAAATTACCCATCAGTTGTCCAAACTTATGCATCATAGTGGTCGGATTCGATCCTCCCCCAAGGGGTCTAGGGACGAGAAAGGGAGAATCTTTAAATTTTCTACGTATTCCCGACAGGGAGGACGTAGAAAATTTAAAGAAAATATGTTTTAATAACAACAGTAAAACATATGAAAGATTATAGTTTCTCGAAAATAACAGTTTTGCTATCTAGTGCATATCTATTGTTGCAACCGCGGGTGTTGAAGGTCTCGTGGTATGGCAGGTGAACCGAAAAAAATGGTCGCAACCGCTACAGCTACGTATTTCGCGGCGATTTGGCCTCAGCCTTGTCGACTTTTGGAAAGCACCTTTTGTAAGGCAAGATGTAATGAGCAAGAGCAGCCATAAAAGCTTTGGCCGAGAATAACGTAAAAGAATGGCCTTTACAGAAAGAGCGGCAAAGAAATATAAAAAGGGACTGCGAATGTGCTAAGGAAAAAGAAGCGCTGCTGGATAGATGACATCTTACCGCAGAACATTTTCTGCTAGGCTCATCATTTTCACTTTTGTGTTCGCTATTTATAACTGCTGCTACAATTTTTTGTGAAGCCTCGAAAACTCTTTTGCACTGCCCGACCCGTTCAAATCCTCCCTCAGAAAAAATTATTCGTGACACGTGAAACGCTCATGTCACTAGGTTCCGAATGCCGCGCAAGTCGATTGTGCAAAGGAATGCCGCAACATCTAAAAGGGAGATTTGTAAACGAGTTCATTGATTATCTACAACTATATGGCTCGCGACGCGCATACTGCTCCAGGCTGCGCGATGAAGGTGAAAAAAAAAAATTTGCTGAAATGAAAAAGCTCAGCCGATTATAGTATTGATTAGAACCCTCCGTGTGCCAGATTTACAAAGGCAGTATCTATTCATCTGATTTACTTTTTCCACTATGTCAATCGAAAAAATAGTCCTTTATTTTGTGAGTCGATCAATTTATTATTCGCTCCAGCAAAAGCATGGCGCAACATCTTGTTGCTGTTCTTACGCCCTCTAAGATTTTTGTTAGTCTACTGGTGCCCCCACCCCAATTACTTTCAAAGCTTTGGGTATTTGACCATATCAAGCTCTCGTTGGTTTCCAATATGGGTAACGACTTGCATTATAATTGAGTCATTTGGAGCATTCTTTCGAATTAATTATCATTTCGGATCTAATTCGCACTCTAAAATCAAATCAATATGGGCAAATTTAACGGCTAAGTTATCAAATTCACGAAAAGCATCTATTTGTGCTAATCATATCGTAAAATATAGCGTACAATCAGATCGTATCGAACCATCGAAAGAAAGCGGGCAAAGATCGGATGTGACTGTTTGCCACAAAATTGCTGAGGATCTCGATAGTCAGCGAATAAAAGTAAACAGAAGGAAGCAAAGGTCAAACTCACGAGTTTATCCAAAGCTCTGGGATTTCTTTCGGTTCTCTCAAGTAGATGAAGCCACCTGATGAACCGGGTTTTGGACAGGTGCTGGCGGATCCTGGATGTCTGTATTGTGATAAGCATGCCTCTTGAGACGAATTTGATGAGGAGACATTACAGGTTTTTCGTCCACTGGAGCCGGGTCTTCTTCCATAGGAATCGCAGTTCGCTTCGAGCTTGGCTGAATCAGAAGAATATGCCCTATTCATTTCTAGTTTTTCAATAATTTCTTTACATTGTCCTTCACGTCTTCCTCCATCGCGTCTTTCTCCATGGGAATCATAGATTGCTTTGAGCTCGGCTGAATCAGTAGAATTTGCTCTATGCATTTGAAATTTTTCAATAATTCTTACATTTCCTCTCTTCACATCCTCCTCCATCGCATCCTCCTCCATATGAACCGTTGCGCGCTTTGAGCTCGCCTGAATCACAAAAATTCAGCTAGTCAACTTATGCCCTAACTTCGGAGGGTTTCCTTACATTGTCCTTCTTCACGGCGTTCTTGGCCGTATCACAGGCAGCCATCAGCTCGTCGAAGTCTTCATCACGCAACCTTTTTGCCTGAAAACCACTGGTGCAAACAGCCGAAAACAAGTACTTACTTTTGTAGTGGGATAGAATCGATAGCCGCTTACCTCTTCGTGGTTATCCATGGTGGCGTGTGCGGTGTAACAGGCTCGCTGCGGCAACGAGTCTGAGCTGCCCACTCGCCTGCGCAGCTCCGCCCCCGTCGTTCGTTGACTTATTTCTATATAACACGATGACTCAGCCGAGCAGCAGCTGATCGCATTCTTCACAGTCGAGGTGCAAAATAACTCACGTCATCTTTCAGGTGATACCCATCAGTTATCCTGTCGAGTTCAAAGCAAACAAGAAATGATCCTGGATGACGAATTTCTTGGTCTTCTTGACGTACTGCTTTGAATTACAGCTTTAAAGGCTTAATGGGATAGATAAAGGAGAGGGAGGTCGTTCACGGACCAAAGACATTTATTCACGCACCAGTAGACTAACAAAATCTCTGTAATAGGTACCAATCATACGTTTTTACCACAGACAGAAGTCAAATACAGTTTCCATCCTAAAAGAAGCGAATATTCATTTTACCCTCCATATTTTCCATCACATGTAAATTAAATTGTAAATTGTAATCATGATATCCAAATAATTTGTAAGCAAAAAAAGAGTATCGCGGTGCTAAAGGACCTTAAGTGAAGACGTAGTAGAGTGTTGAATGACATGTGGCGCGGCTCTCCACGGGCATGGTCTAGGTGAGATATCCTAAACAAATTCCGCTAAGGAAAGCCGAGCATTCCTTCCCTCGAAAGTCGTTCAACTGTCGTCGGACTTGCCACTTGCCTGGAGAAATAAAAAGCGTTGACCGTGGATATCCTGGCCGATATCCCCCGGGAGTCGAAACTATGATTTTTGGACAGATGTACCGTATTTGGAATCTTATGGGGGTTGTGGTCTTGGAACTTGAAGAGCGTCGTGTGGTGGCAAAATCTAGTAGTATTAGAAACACTCATGTTGGTGAAGGTGTTGGAAGTAGTGATGGGGTCGGGGGATAGTTGATAGAAATTGCAAGAATTTTGACATCGGCGCAACGGGCGGTTGACATCGTCACTCACTTCTACATCGGTTGTCACCTACGGTAGTTTTATTTTATTAGCCAGGTCCCAAGAGTACCATGAGCTTGGGCTTTGGGTGCGGGGGATTGCCAAGAGAATCGCCATTCTGGGTGGGCTGATCCAGTGCGATCAAGAGAAGAAGGGGTAGATTTTCCACACCGCAATTCCCGAATGCTCCGTAAACAATATTGCAGTGATCAGCGATATTGAGAGCTTGAAACGCGAAACGATAATTCTCGAAAATTAAAGTAATGCGGGGTTTCTTCTACTAAGGGGGAGGGTGGTTCACGTACCCCGGGGATTTGCTCCCCTTGGAAAAATTGGAATTACTGTAGCCGGCAAGAGCTGTCACACCACAGGCCTCCTGCTTACTGAGACCCATAATGCGCTAAAGTCCCAATCTTTATATTTACATTTATATTTAACATTATTATTCCTTATCTACGCTGATATCCTCTATATTTGTACAATTTATATTTCTCTATCTAAATGATGGGCGGAAGTGGTGTAGTGGCAAGTGGCACGCTTACCACGCGAGCGGTCCGGGGATCAAATCCTGGGTCGTGAGTCGCCAACCAAGCCTTCCATCCCTCCGGGGTCGGTTAATTGGTACCAGACTTGTCTGGGAGGATAAAAACACTGACTTGTACATCGGCTGGCCCCCGCAAGTCATTGTATAGGCCACATCGCATTCAAACGCCACTACGAATGTACAAATGGAAGTAGAATGCGTGCCGCATCCCAAAAAGGGATTGATCAACGGCAAATGCTTTATCCTATCCTTATCCCCAACCTAATGTTATTGAACTTTTCATCTTCTTCATTATTCAATAAGTTATGGCCTCAGTCAATGGTCTGCATATTCGACACAAGTGGCAAAGTAAATGTTCTACATCCATCTTTCAAGGCCGGGGAAAGTGTCGAGTGATATGCGAGAACGGTAGCAAAAAAGGGCTCAGAGTGCATCCAGAAACACGCAGCATCTGCTTGCGTTCTGTGGTAAAACGCGACGATATTAGAAACACATTCGGAATATGTGGCATAAGTTGAAGTACACAGCTTTCTATAACGCCAAATCGATCACGACTCATTGTACAGCAGAAGGGGTTGGGTGGAATCAAAGAAGGCATTGCTCAAGAGGCGCAACAAGAGACTTCAGGTCGCACAAGGTTGGCGTCATTTTACCGTGAAATATTCCAAGTAGCAGACGTTTACCCAATCACGTGCACCGCGCCCAGCACGCCACTGAATATATGGAGTGCACCGCCTGCAAAGGTGAGGGGTGCTATGCTGTGTTCGGATAGCGATATGTCTTGTGGCGCTGTTGAATCGCTGTGAAGGTATTTCTGTTGTTGTCCTCAGTCAGATTATATTGTCTGTGGGGCTATAGCTTAGCTTCAGTTTTCATGCTTTTTTTATGTTCCTTTCTTCAGTAGGTCTTTTCTGGGTTTCTCTTCGATTTGTGTTGTTTGTTACTGGCTCTCGCATTTATATGGGCTGGGCTTTGTTTTGTGATTCTAGCACAGTACTATGCATTCTGGCGCGCTTTTGTACTTGATTTTGTTTTATGTACGTTTGATCTGCCTTCGGTATGGAGTCTACGTTTCTAAAAGTAAAGAAATATCTTCTTTATTCTCTCCATCGACGTCCTGTATTCTCTCGCGACGCTGGAGGAGTTGATTAATGGTATTTCAAGCGGAAAATATAATACCTAAAATGACTCTCTGGAAGCACAAGCATGTCCTTGTTCACTGTCCTCACCAAAATGTAAAAGCAAGCGACATCGCCGTAAAGCTCAAGAAGCCGTGGACTTGAACTTTGTGGCATTTATGTGCTTGGCAAATTCTTCTAATGTCGTCCTCGTAAATGGTTGTTATGAAGGTGTTCAACAAAATCGAATGTGCTTTCATTTTCCAGGTCGAAAATCGCGTTCAATATTAGCATAGTATATCTGATGTGAAGTTAAGAGGTCTCTTTTTTGCCCCCTAACGCTAAAGTTAAGCTTGCTTACTTCTAAGCTATGGCAGTCAGACTGAGCTGAGCACGATGGAGATGATAGGCGAGGAGCAAAAAGGGTGAGAAGGAATTAAACAATAGCATGCTCTATAGAAAAGTTGAAGCGGTTGAAGCAGTCTTTGCATGACGCGCCGCCCATGTCAGGAGATTCACGTGTGGTAATGCCATATCTGTGATTTTTTCAAGGGTTCTATCCTATGAACCAGAAGGGATTCCTTCACCCAACGTCTGCCCGCGAACGAATGTGTTGCTGGCGCGGATGTCGTTCATAGCGACGTCCTCGTTGCGGTGGAGTCGTTTTTCTGAGATTTAGTCGCGACCAATCCAAGTCAATGTTCCGATTCTATTTTACTGTGATTCAGCGCGCGGATCGATCAATCTCGCTGATCTTATTGGACTTGGTTGTGATCTCGCGAATCTGTTTGGAAATGGAAACACCAATTTCACATCTTGTCAAATTACGGAAACACCTGTGTATCACCAGTCCGGATGGTGCTACATCTTCGCCGAGTCTAGCAAAATTTGCCAAACACGTCACTGTGTCCACTGCTGTTCCAGAACGCGTCAAGAAGCTTCTTATCGGATTGAAGCAAATGTGTCGCCGAGGAACCGTCTTGAATCACCAGAGCTAAAGTCAGAAAGTGAGAACTAAGGGATGCTTACGTAGCTATGAGGGAGGAAAGGTTTCTAAGAGTGCTCCGCCAGTTTCAAATTCATATTCTTATTCATGCGAAGAGGATGAGAAGGCGATTGTCATTAATTGTATTCCAGAAATGCATGCAGGATTTTGTTGATCGTCTAGGACGCTTACCAGAGTGTAATTAATAAATCGAGTCATTTGAAAGTTGTCTATCATCCTATATTAAGGTCATCTAGCAGCAAATAATGATGCACTGGCTGATCCTGTTCGGTTGATGGCAACGCTTTCTCTCCTGTCCATCAGCGATTTGATAACTCCTCATTTACCGACAGTTTGAAACCAGGGAGCTAGCGGAGTTTTCGCGGAATCTACCCTTTAACCATCATGATGAAAAATATAGCAATAAACTAAATGTTCATCCGCAAATATTCATAAGTTAGACAGAAATGTTTGATTGTCGGAAGGGCCAATTTGGGCGCGCAAACGGCGTGCTTTGTAGTTGATCTAAC